AGACATGAAAAAAATATAGTAAAAAAAACCCCACTGCATTATGCTTCAATATCATATCAAATAATTTAAATTACACAGTCCAGTTTGCTCTTCTTCCATAAGTAAAAGGGATCAGAGAGCTGTAGGAGCGTGTTCTTCAGGTTTACTGCAATCAACGCTCCAAGCACTGACTTGGAGAAACAAAGATAACTGAAGTTACTTAATATGTCTCAGTTGTTCTCTTACGTCTGTATGTTTTGTATGATATTTCAGGTTCACACTGTTATGTCCACTTACTTTTGGGAGTGGCTTTAGATAGATTCCCAGGGCGAGCATGGTGACCATTACTACTAGCATTACACACAGACTGGCAAACTACAAGAGAGCAGTAGTGCAGTAGTTAGGGGCTTTGGTAAACATTTGCTGTATTTATAGTCCATACTAAATCTTCCTCAGTAGGTTCTTAGTTATAATTTGAGTATGATCTGCACTCACTTGTGAAGTTCCTCCAGCACTGTCAACAGCCAGCGTTACAGACAGAGCACAGCAGATCACATGGATCTTAAAGAAAGACCCAAGGAAATTGCTGCAGCCTAGAGCCAACATTTCCTATTCAAAAAGACCATTTCAGTGTTGACAAAAGTGAAATAAAATACACTTCTTACATTTTTAAGAGAGATGCAGTTTTTCAAACCTGGTTGGGATTCACATCATAGCCATGCTTAGCTGCCAGTGTCCTGCCCATAGCTAAGTTGATGACGTATCCGACAATAGCCAGAGAGAAAGCTGTGCTCAACATGTCTTCCCACTGACTCACTGTTGGGAGGATCGGTGCAGGAAATCTAGAAAACAGAGACAAGAAACAAATCAGAGTTAAACATTCTTTAATGACTTTCATGAATAACAGTAGGACAAAAAAGCTGATGTCTGCTTTACCCCAGAGGAATATTGCCCACAATGTCCATGTGGTAGATCTCAGGAAGATGCAGCGGACCTGAGATGGCTGTGGCCACCACCACCTGTGTAAAACAGGAACAGAAATCACGCTACATTCTATTATATACTGTTAATTCTCTTATGTGCACCCAGAAAAACATCTGTGCAACAGCTATCTCAAATATCTAAAAGAAAAAATTTTAACTACTTACGACGATGATCTCAATAGGAATAGGGAAAGGAAGTTTATGACGAAAGTGGAAACCTAGTTCTTTCACCACAATCAAAACTGCACTGCTGACCAAAGCAAAGACTAAGGAGGCTATATTGGTATCAGGAAGGCCCAATATTATATCCTTGAGAGTCTGTTTGGAAAGAAATCATTTTCAGCAAATCATAATTTTGCAAAGTATCCGATCATATTTTCTTTAATAATGAATGGGTAACTTACATATATAACAGCCAGCGGACCACTGTAAGATGGCACTGTGATGCCAAAGATGTACTTGAGCACTGAAATTAAGATTTGCAGTCCTGCAGCAGTCATGAAGCCTCTGACAAACGACTCTGACAGATAGATGGCTACAAACCCAAACTGCATGAAGCCAAGACCAATCTGCACAGACATAAATCATACTCAGTGTGCCACCTTTAAACTATATCCCATATTCCTTTCAGATTTTACCTTAAAGGACTGAGCTTTTAGTGGTATAAGTACCTGTATGATTGCAGTGAGACAGGCCAGAGTACCAGATATAGCCAGACGAACTTCATTCATCCTGTCAGTGTCCACTACTGTGGCATTAAGAGTGGCATTGAAATGACTGAAATCCGACTCAGGGGCTAGCCTAAGACACACGATTCCCACCATAATGCTGAGAACAGCAAAAGTACCTAGACATAGAAAGTAGGGTGTCACATCTATTTTCCTTGCCATATTGCAAAGCGGGCAAAGTCAGGCTCAGTGCAGCACCATGCAGCTCTGGTAACTTATCACTGTCATCACACAAAATTGCTGTAGATAAATCATTCTGATTTACCTGGGACCATCTGGTGAGCAGTGCCCATGAAGAAATATGGGATGAGGGGGAAGAAAGAGGAATAGAGACCATTGACAGGAGGAAGATTTGCAAGGAGAGCAAAAGCCATGCCTGGAAAGAAAAGAAGCTGTCAAATAAATAATAAAAAATAACACAAAAACTGTTATCCACTCCACCAGCTAGCATCAGTCAAAGGCTGTTATACAGAGTTATCTGAGAGTAGAAGATTGACTGACCTTGGGGAACCTGAATGGTGCCGGCGCTGACCCCACTAATGACATCACACAGCAGGTTTTCTTTTACTTTGTACTTGGGAAGCCAGCTTAGAACCGGCAGGTGTTTAAGTAACAATCCTTTGAGCCTGGGTACAGAACATCTAACACAAAAAAACAAAAAACTGTCTTAGAAGATCTCTGGTTTTCTGCTTGTTCATTTATAAAAGTCAATAACACACATGTAAACTTGAGTTCTAGTTATGTATCCCCGTGCTTTTGAATATAATACAGAGGCTTATCAGAAGAGTTTGTGTGAGAGAAAAGCACGTTGTTCATGTTGACTGTGCAGTAAGATTGCAGTTCGGTACCTGAAGAGTTTCTTTACTTTTTCTCCAACAGGGAACTGTCGACTCTTTTTGTCAAATTCTCTGTCAAAGTCAGGGAGGTTATATGCCGGCCTGTCAATCACATAACGTGGGCTTTCCTGTTGCATGGCTACAACATAGCAAAATATATTAAGCAGGCAGATATTTTATGCAATGTCTTCAAAGTGAAATTTAACACATTAATATAGTAAGTCATTTGGTGTCTTTTTTGTTTAAATTTGTCATTAATTCATGAAAGTATCCATAAAAACTCAACAGCATACCTGGAACTTTATACTTCACCTTTCCCGATACTAAACCTGGCCCATATTTTAAGTGTAAGGTCCTTATCTAACCTTGATGAATGAAAGATCAGCCAAAACTTCACGGGACTAATAAAATGTTTGCTCTACACTGGGTAAATAAAAGATCATGCACAAGTTTATTCAGTCCTCGGTAATCCTTTTCTCCATGCAGGAGAAAAACTTATGTTATTTTTCACCAGAATGACAATACAATACATTATGAATACACAGATATTTTTACTTTTTATATTGAACAGATGATCCAACAGCTGTCAGTTGTAATTGTTGTTATATTTTTATAAACTGTTAAACACTAAACAGGAAAAGAAGATTTTAAAGAAATAAAGCTAAAAAGAGATATAACTGCATTAAGAAAATGAAATTAGATTTAGCCTTTTTGTCTAATAAATAAATCTCCAATATGGAAATACTGTGTGAATAATATATCTTATCAATATCACAACCTAGGGATATTACATTACATCTCTTACATATAACCTGTTAATGTAAATAAGCGATTCCTAACAACTGGTGTATGCCTGTAGTGTGACTGATTGCAGCTGACTAAAATGCCGTGTGTAAAGGCAAACACAATTAGACAGATGTTAAAGCTCAACATAAAAAAAGAAATTTTGTTGTACAATGTTAAATAAAAAACAGAAATTTTAAGACACTGTACTTACTTTTGCCTTGCTTACTCTTGAAGCACGTCTGCAGATGTTTGACTCAAATGAGACTTGTTTGATTACTTTTGAAGTAATGCTAAAGACCTTCTACACCTGCTGGGTGGAGCTTAAAAGGATAAAGCCTGGTGCTGTGAAATACACTGCTCAAAAATTTAAAGAAACACTTTCAAACACATAATGAAATCATAAGGATGCCACATCATTTAATGAAAATTATCATTATCAAACCATAGATGGCTGAATTCAAAGACAACAAAAAAATCAAAGTGAAAAAATAATACAGCATGCAAGTCCATTATGCTGAATTTTCATTGTAGCAACTCAAAATTGTATTCAGATGTATGTGAAGGCCCAAGATATGCATACGTGACAACGTCAGGGGATGCTCCTAGCGAGACCATGGATGGTGTCTTCTGGGGATCTCCTCCCATATCTGGACCAGATGACTAAGCTACTGGGCAGTCTGAGGTAGCATCGAATGGACCAAAACATAATGTCCCAGAGCTGTTTTACTGGGTTTCAGCCAGGCGAGTGTGAGGGGCAGTTAGCTGTTTCAGTTCCTTTATCTTTCAGGAACTGCTTGCATACTCCTGCCACATGAGGCCAAGCACTGCCTAGCCAGTAGAGGTCTGTCCGTCCATCCACAATCAAACCAGTCATGCTGAACAATGTTACCAGAAAAATAATGTTCTCCATGGCATCTCCTGACCTTTTAACATCTGGTCTCATCTATTAAAAGTACAGGAACCAGTGCTGGACTCCCAATTCCGGTAATATTTGGCAATATACTAATCAGGCTCCACAGTGTAAGGCAGTGAGCACAGGGACCACTAGAGGGCGTTGGGCCTTCAAGCCACCCTCATGAAGACTGTGCCTCATTGTTTGGTCTGAAACATACACACCAGTGACCTGCCGGAGGCAATTTCATAGGGCTGCAGCAGTGCTCATCCTGTTTCTCCTTGTACAAAGAATCAGATACTGGTCTTGCTAATGAGTTAAAGGCCTTCTATTGCCCAGTCCAGCTCTCCTAGAGCTTACATTCTCCTCCATGCTTTGGAGACTTCCCTGACAAAGCGTTCTAGCAATGTCACACACTGATGTGCTGTCCTGGGAGAGTTGGACTACCTGTGCCGACTCATGATACCAGTAATGATGCTGACTCTAGCAAAATGCAAAACCAGTGAAAAAAGAGATGAGGAAGGAAAAATGTCAGCTTCCATCTATAAAAACATTCCTGTTTGAAGGCTTGTCTCATTGTTGAATTTCACTAAAACAAATTAAATAAAACTGATTAACAATCCCTCTGCTACTTAACTGACCACATCAATGTCCTAGAAATTTAACTGACTTGATGGTATACTCTGACTGAAGTGTTCCTTTAATTTATTGAGCAGTGTAGTTAAATTGGTTAAACTTCTGATTGCCGAATGTGCCGTTTCATCAGTGTGCTACCGAGCAAGGACACAAGATGTAATTACCAATAAATGTATTTTAATAGGTTCAGTTTCTATATACATGTAGCATCCTGATATTCATACTTATCAACAGAAACACACAAACAAAAATACAACTTTACATATTTTATGGGAAAAGGGTAGACATAAGATAGAGCTGGAACTAAACCAATTACAAACCAGTTTAATTTGGCGAATACAAGTAATCCTGCTAACTGCAACAAAATGATACATACAAACACCTTTTCACAAAAAGAGGGTGAGACAGACATGACAATGTGTAACACATGATTTTGTCCCATTGTATTAGAATTTGTGTGCAAAACAATGGCATCAATATCATAGACTAAAGTGCAATTATATAGTAGTTCCATTTGTGTTTTCTCTAAAAGAGGAATGCCAGACTTCAGATAACCTCTCGACATAAAATGAAAGTCTCCCTCTGGTGGAACAAAAAGAAAAGCACAAACTTCACATGAAGGCATTGCCTTCAAGAATGAGAGAACAATAGAGCACTTCTTCCTTTCTTACAGAAGCATGAATGCTCTTAACATTTCACATGACAGAAAGCTTTCGATGAGAACACAAAACTTTATATCTGCAGCAAAATTTCCAAAAACATAGTTCAACGAATAAATTGACAATGACAGAAATGTTATGAGAACCAGTCATTTTCCAAACAAAAACTGTGAAAAGCTGAGAGTACTGTTTGTGAATGGTGCCAACAGTAGTAAAATGCTGCAAGTACTGGTGATACGTGGCTACATGTAGCAACATGTACATGGACTTGTAGGGGAAAAAATATAAAGAAGTGAGTGTATACATTTTTTCATGAGTCTGTATAAAACCAATGCCGCAGAGGATTTTCATCAAAAAGTAGGATGCACATAAAACATATTTAACTCATCTAAGACAGACATTTGTATCTGTACACAGAAGTGAAGGTGAACAAGTTTCAGTTAAGTTTATATAAACAAAACGTTCTCGATAATGTTGCCATTTTTGTTAGTGCACTGCAACAGCTTGATCTTTGTAGTAATGCTTCACACATAATGTTTAGTCGTGATACTAAAATAACAAGCGCCAATAGCAATAGCAGAGTAGTGCAGCAGAATAAAGAACTTGGTATTGAACAGTGGTATTGGTATTGTCTAGCAAATCCTGGACTATAATAACTATAAAACACTTCTCAAACATTAAGTCAGTGACTATCAGGAGATATGAGTATTCTGCAGTTGAGTGCTGACTGTTTGAGAGCTAATTTGGATGAAAACAATCACTCGCTGTCAAGCTAATATAACTTTTAAGGTAAATGGTTTTAATTTTGGTTTCGATTTTATGGTTGAGTATTTTAACTTTCATTTGAAACACTAATCACTGGATTAAAAGCCTGTTATGGAGGGGAGTTTCTGACTGTTTAAAAATGAAACAATCCAAAGATGTAGCTGTTTAAAACCACCTGCACGTCTCAAATGTCCTCCACAAATTCGTTCAAAAGCAGCTGACGTTTTCAGAGGTTTACAATTTCTACAGGACTGTAGCACGTAGGCCATTAAAAGTGGGAGAACAGGTTACTATGCAAATACAGAGCTTGTTAAGCAAGTGCAGCAAATGCAGCACCATGTGATAAAAGTCTGATGATTTTTTTTTTTTTTTAAATCTAGCCATGTCTGCTTTTCCTCTTCTTTATTATAAAAGCTCATTGTCCATCTCCCGCTGGCAGCCTAAAACCCCTTAAGTCCACCAAAGTCTTTAAAATGAGTACTGACTAAAAATCACTGAGGATGCTGATGTCCGCAAACTCCTGGCGGTAATTGTATGAGTAGTAGGCCAAGAGGGAAGACCATTTGAGGGTCAGAAAGCTCCACACACAGGAGAGGTAGAAGCTCTTCGGGTCAGTGAAAGCTGTGGGACAGAAAAAACAAGGTGGTTACAACAATCCTCACCTCTCTGAGTATTTGAATTGTCAGTCACTTATTTTAACATAAATGAACAACAATACAAAATTCATTTAAAAAAAAAAAAACAGGAACAGAAAAGACAAGATTACATTGCTTCTGTGCGATGGCCATAGTTAGGAAGATAATAAAGGCAGCCACAGCCAAAACTGAGAAGAATACTCCAACAGCGATGAAGAATCTAAGACCCTTGAGCCAGGTTCGCCAGTAGTCCTGACGGTACATGATGTGTGTGATGAGAGCCCAGAGCGCTAAAACTCCTGTCAAGACAGAAAAACACAGATTTCGATTGAGTATGATAACACTGCAGCCTGAAGACTACAGAAAACCACCACGTGACAGTAATTTATGGAAATTACAGTGTTGTAATAGAATGTAATAGACTACTCCCATACAAAACAAGAAAAGACTACTATTTTAGAAATTTTCTGCAAAAAAATGTGTTTTAAAACAAAATTTACATGATACTCAGAAATGCAAGTAAATCACTTAAATTACTCAATTATTGAAGTTAATTAAAAAAGAACAATACGGTTTTTCTACTTGAAAGATAAATAATTATAATTTAGCATTAAAAATATCATTACAATTTTTTTTTAAAAATCATAATGTACCAATAATGCATTGTATCTTATAAAGATTTCAGTGACGGACTAAATTTTAAGAGTCGTTATATGATTATGGCGCTTAACTGTCCAGGCCTACATCGCGATTAGGATGCCTGACATGGCTAAATGCGCCGATATCCCGTGATAAAGTCATTAACTGTTTGCAGTGTTTTTAGTTAATGCTATGTGTTTCAACATACCTGACAGGCCTCCCATAGCCGCCGTCCATGGTTGTTTAAATGCGATATTCCAGACCAAGAAAGCCGACAGTCCAAACACAGTACCAACAGTAGCATATCCTATTTTAATGTATATGTTGGTGACTCCCATGTTGGAATATTGCTACTGTTAGCCAACGTTAGCACCGTCGTCGAAGATAAAGGAGTATTTTTTTCCCTCAAAACAAACTATTATTAGGTTAAACCACAGCTTACTGCCACATTATGCAATACCCTAAGCTACAGGAAAAGGACGAAATGAATTTCCCCTCCGCTAAAGAGGACCCAGGGAGAGACCGACAGCTATCCCTGCTAGCAAAACTCTATTTCGAAATAGAGATCAGTCACTTCATGTGCCTTGTACGTAATACAAAGACGAAAATGGCGTTAAGATTTCCAGCTAGCAAGCAACATCAAAATAACAACAGACGAGCTTATCCGATGTACGCCGCAAAGATGTTAGGCTATCATCGAGAAAACAAAACCACCCCGGAGAGCTGCCTCTTCATCCGCAGAGGAAATATTTATTTCAGTAAAAAACTTTCGTTATTGGTCTTTACCTGCCACTCGCTGTTACACGACAAAGGACAAACAAATGAACTAGCATTGCTAGTTCAGGGAAAAAACGAATTTCTATGCTCTGTTTACAAAAATTTGCCATACTATCACCTCCCCTTTAAATATCTTTGTACAGAGGAAACCCCCTTCTTATCGACACACCGCCCCTAGTGGAGCAAAGAGAAACAGCATTTCTCTTAGACTTCTCTAATGGAGCTTTGTAGAATTAAATGTGTTGTGCAAAGTTGTAGGCACTGAAAACAAAATAGGAATTTATACATTTTTAATTTGTTTATTAACTTCAACCCATTGCCTTTAGTGTTTGTGTGCGCTGCACTCTCTGGGACGTTTGTTTTGAGCACCTTAAAGACCTTTGTGCAACTATTCTGCAAATTTGAACAGCTTTAATGTATTATAATTTAACAAATGTCAGAGGTGATTTGTGAAAGAAGGACAAAACCAAGAGTGAAAGGGAGGGTTTACAAGATGACAGTGAGACCTGCAATGATGTATGGTTTGGAGACGGTGACACTAACAAAAAAGACAGGAGGCCAAGCTGGAGGGTGCAGAGCTTAAGATGCTAAGATTTTCACTGGGAGTCACCTGGATGGAGAGGATAAGAAATGAGGATATCAGCGGGAAAGTTTAGGTTCAACAGTTTGTGGACAAAGTTAGAGAGGCAAGGCTGGGTTGGACATGTGCAGAGGAGGAATATAGGGATATTTGAATATGAAGCTGGTAAGTAGGATGAAAAGATGAAGACTGCAGAGAAGGTTAATGGGTGTATTGAAAAAGTACATACAGGGGGCTGGGTTATCAGAAGAGAATGCTAGGAATAGGGGAAGATAATCCACCGTGGGGACCCCTGAAGGGAGCTCCGAAAGAAGAAGTGTCATGATTACTTGATCAGGTCTCTGAAGACAATTTTATGTTGAATGCTTGATGCTTGAATGCATGATGCTTGATCAGATGTACTTTTGATAAATAAGAATGTAAGCATCTAAAATCCCTATAACTTATACAGTGCTGTAGTGCTGTTCATACATTTGCATTTTGGTCACACACAAAAAACTAACTGACCTGAGATGAATTTTTAGTTTGTCTCTTTTCTTTCTGTTTAATGCATTAGAAGTTTATGAGTAAAATGTCAAATGTTTATGTGGTCATAAGGTCAGACAAATATATCACAGTATTTTCCTGCACAAATGGACATGTGTTAATGCAGCTGCACACAGAAAAGAATAACACCAAAGACTGTATTCAAAGTAAATCATGGCTCCTGGCTAACAGTGGCAGGCATGAAGCAGTTTTCCCATGGAAAAACATAATGTATTTATAATCTCACTATGAATGGAACAGTGATAAGGATGTATAGTAAAGCGTACTGACTTTTTTTCTCAGAAGCTGAGCCTCATAGATTTCCTGTGGTTGTCTGCAGCTCGTCTACAGTTGAGACTGTTAAACAAGAAAACCACATAACCTAGTTCTGATGAACTGCAATTCACATTGCTTAGATTCAAATTCTGTCTTCATATTCTCACATACATTGCCATGTATCAGTGCTGTACTAAGCCCATGCCCCCGGGCACTCTTTTCAGGACCAATCAGAAAGACACAGGAAGCTGTGTCCAGTAGCACTCCCCGTAACTCACATAAAGTACCCTGACTGAGAGACATATGATAGAAGCGAAGGCTAGAAAAGGAAAGCAGACAAATTAAAGAACTGAAGTAATCAAACTGAAGAATCTTATAAGACTGCGACATTGGTGAGTTACTGATTGCAGAGGAAAGGATTGTGTGGAATTGTGGCAGACCATTTGGTTCGTTGTGCTAATTAATGAATATTATATGTCTATTTTAATCATAATATCTTGTGCTTTACAAAGCCCCTGCTGATTTGTCTGACAGGGTTTTAAGGATAATTTCAGTCTATAAAGGCACTTTTCCATCACAGGTGTTCAAATTCTAGTTTTTCTCCAAATAATATATTTAAATTGTTACTTTTTAGTATTTGAAACTAAGTCGGTAATGTAAATGTCAACATGTGACTGCACAGCGGGGATTAGAAGTGAAAGAACGTGGTTGACAAATGTGAAAGTGTTGCAGTGGGTGCAGAAATATTGTCTCCAACTGCTTTAATGTCTTTGCTTATGTGTGCTCTGCTTTCTGCTTCAGCCCTCAATAGACCATAAGGTCAAACAGATCAAACACGTATTTCCCTGTCACTGCTAACTGGCTTGGATAAAGGAAGGAAAATGTGTGTATGTGCACGGACATGTGTGTGTTTATGTGTGTGTGTGTGTGTATGGAGAGACACTAGACAGTCACAACAAAGACTACTGGCAAAGTACATTCCATGGGTGTGTTGCAGGAAATCCCACTCCCATTCCCGAAGGATCTAAATAGAAACACACGCACACAAATAAATACAACTTTAGAGATAGAAACACAGAGAGAAGCGCTGCACATAAAACAATCCATTATAGTTGATGCTGTAATAAAATTAAGTCTATAACATTCTATAACTAATGCTTGCATTTTTTTTTTTGTTTGTTTCATTTTGAGCATTCTTTATAAGAAACTGATCAGCGAGTTGCTCAATTTCTAAATACCCTGTGAATTGCTTTGCAGGGCATGTGCATCATCAATAGGGGGCAGCATTTATTTTCAAAGTGCCAGCCTGGAATGTGATACGCAATGCAGACCTGGGTCCATAAGAGTTCAAGGTGTCAACAGTCTAAATTCAGTCTACCTTGAAACTTGGAGCTTTTTGCTGGTTATATTCTCTGGAGCTAAAACAAGGTCACCTAAATCTCCAAACGAGTTAATAAGATTTGATTTCAATCCCTGGGCCAGAAAGCAATCGCCACTGCTGAATTTTTAGGATTTTCAGGGTGAAAGCTGATCATAGTCTAAGTGCAGCTTAGGTCTTTTGATATTTGGTGCAAAACATCAATCCCCTGAAAGAATGTTTTCCCAGTAATATGTTGCTATTTACAGAAGACAATCAAGACAGTCACTTTTTCAGATGCTATCAACCAGACTGTAGCAATATGCTCTTCCTTATCAGCTAAACTACTGTATTTAAATTCCCCCAGGAGGTCATAAGAAGGAAAACCGGATTCCTTGGTTGTGAACATTCTTTATGTGGCATCAGAGAGCCCCTGTGAGCCATTTTCAAGACACAGAGAAACACACAGTTTAGTCAGAGAACACAAAATTTATCGACTAAACTTCAGCGGTAACTTCTGTTTGGTTGGGTTTGATTGCTTGGCTACTTTTAAGATTGGATTTTGAGACAATTGTGACTGTTGTCATGACTCGAAGGAGGTCTAAACATGGTAAGAAATCATTATTCTTTTGAACATTTGCAGCAAATGTGCCTCACGGTACCTTTTAAAGTACAGTTTTCTGTACTCCAAGAGCCACCGTTCACTTACCACACGATTATGTAACAGGGTTCCAAGATGGAAGCAGTAATGTCTACAGTAAAGGTCAGCAACAGGTGCTGAGCTTTTAATAAAAACATACAAAAGAGGCGGTTTGAACACACAGCTCAAATTGCAGCCAAGCATGGAAAACATGGATGCTCTGGTCAGTGTGTGTTGTGGAAAGGTTTGGCAAAGTGACTCAGACACTGAGGTCAGTACAGGAAGGGCTGCCCTGCACTAGAACAATAGCTGGGATTTAAACAATTCTTGCATAACTTTTCCAGCCTGCAGCACACAGACATGATCCTGTTATAACAGAACATGGGAAATTAAGTTTTTAGAAGGGTCTCCTTGTCCTTATGTAAGACATTGCAAATTTACATCTGCTTGTTTTGCTATTAACTGACAAGGGAAAACGCTACCTTCCCATTTTAGTTTCTCGACTGTTAAAGAATAAAATCATTGTGCTGTTTTTTCTTCACACAGATTTTGTTCAAGCTGTTTTCTTGATGGAGAACTACGTCAGAAACAGCAGTTTTCCACCAAGGCGGCGTACACCAGAGTTGGGGGACGTAAGTCACCTGCATCTATAAACGAACACAAAAAGCCAAAAGTGTGAACTACAGGTGTAAGGTTTGAATCACAGGAAGAAATATTGAAAAATCCATTCAAAACTGAACACCTGTTATGAATTTTATGCTTTCATAAAGCTTTAATGGGTACATAACACTTCAACACCAAAGGAAAAACACCTGTGAACTAGAACTGCATAAACGCATTAAGTGTTGTCCTCAAACCTAAATTACTTTCTGCCCTTGAAGCAGTTTATCTCTGCCTACAGGCCCAGTTGAGCCAGGCAGCTGGATAACCTGATAAGTGTGTGGTCTATACAACGTGCTGCAGCTTGTGTGTTTTCCTGAACTACTGTACTAAACAAACTTTATTATATAGTACCTTCATGCAACATTATACCTCCTTTAATACCCCTGACCCCAATGTTTGTGTGGATTCACCCATTTTTTTTTAACAGTTCAGCCAAGAAATGATGCAAATTTGTAACAAATAAGCCAGTTATTTTACAGAAAGGGTGCACATTTTTAGCAAATTACTTGTTTGACTAAGACTTGAGTAAGGTTTGACATCTTTGAAAATTTCATCTCTAGCATTCAAGAATGAATTTGAGTTGAAATATACACATCATATTTGTCTACTCGCTGACGTGTTTTAACAGAAGGACAAAATGTTAAGGTTCTACATGCACACGAGGTCAAGCTAAATACGTCAAACGCCGTTTTTAATTAGGTGGTAAAACTGCCAGAAGAGGCAGTCTCTCTGATGCAGTTTCTTGTGAAAAGCCAAAGAGCGCACACACGCAACGCAGCAACAGTGCGCCTGTGCCGCGAGGGATGGCTGAACAGTACACGACTCGACCTCAATGAGGCAGCAAGATCTGAGTTTGATGCAGGACCTGCCTGGAATTACTAGGAGGACAAAATGCGGAGTTATGAGTTCACATTGTCGCCGTGTTGAGTCGCCGCTGTGCAGTAATGAGTGTGAGACGGGGCTATCCAGATTACTGTGCCGTGAATAATGTGTAGAGCTGCCGAGCTGCAGATCTTCTGACTGGGAAACTTGTTTGTCGGTTGTTTTGATCCGAAACAAGATGCATCTCTTTCGGACTCACAATTACCAAGTGTTCCCGGACCGCT